ACACGGGCCTCTCACTGTTGTGGCCTCTCCCGTTGCGGAGCACAGGCTCCGGACGCGCAGGCTCAGCGGCCATGGCTCACGGGCCCAGCCGCTCCGCGGCATGTGGGATCTTCCCAGACCGGGGCACGAACTCGTGTCCCCTGCATCGGCAGGCGGACTCTCAACCACTGCGCCACCAGGGAAACCCTCTTAGCTCTTTCTTTTAGCATTTTCCCTAGTGTTTTCAAGAAACCCTATATATTGCCATTAATATTTTTCTTTCAGTTTTAGAATATTGTATTCCTCCTGTAGAAGGTGAGGATTGACCCACCAATTACTGCCAACTCCCCACTTCCTTTTCACCATCCTCCTCATCTAATATGACTTTTTGTTAGATCAGTATTTAGTATGTTATGTTCTTGTGACTGTGAAAACGTTATTCACTATGAGGCCATATTGAGTACCCTAATGCGATTTCTTATAAAACTTTTTGCTTCTCCTGGAATTAATAATGTGGTCTCACTTGTTTTTTTAGTTTTCTGTGTACCTATCACTGACTCATTATTTGTTCCCCAAACTGTCTGCCAGAAGTGTAAATCTCTCAATATGTTGATACCTGTTAGGCTTTTTATCAATACTATCCTTTTTCCTTAAAATTAATTATTTTTTTTGGCTGTGTTGGGTCTTCCTTGCTGTGCACGGGCTTTCTCTAGTTGCAGTGAGCGGGGGCTACTCTTCATTGTGGTGCGCAGGCTTCTTATTGCAGTGGCTTCTTTTGTTGCAGAGCTCGGGCTCTAGGCGTGTAGGCTTCAGTAGTTGTGGCACACAGACTCAGTAGTTGTGACTCGCGGGCTCTAGAGCGCAGGCTTAGTAGTTGTGATGCGTGGGCTTAGTTGTTCTGCGGCATGTGGGATCTTCCTGGACCAGGGCTCGAACCCGTGTCCCCTGCATTGGCAGGCGGACTCTTAACCACTGTGTCACCAGGGAAGTCTTTTTTTTTTTTTAAGACCTCTGCCCTCTAACTGCAGCCTTGGTACTTTTCTTTATGATTTTCTTGAGGGATTTCTTCTGTGTTGTGTTCTGTTTTTTCTGGATCCCATGTTTTCCTGTCCCCACCCCACCCTTTATTTTGGTGAAGCGCATTCTCCTATGGCTCCCTGAGAAAATGTGCATGAGGGGTAATATTTTTTATGCTTTGTATATTTGAAAATGTCTTATTTCTGTCCCACACTTGATTGATCATTTGTAAATATGAGCAGAATTCTAAGTTGGAATTCTCTCAGCATTTTGAAGTTATTACTCTCTTTTCTTTGAGCGTTGTTTGTTATTGAAGAGTCCTGTCATTTTGATTTCTGTATATATGTCATCTCCTGTGGCACAACAAGTTACCACAAAGCTTAGAGGCTTAGAACAGCAAACATTTCACAGTTTCTGTGAATCAGGATCTGGGTGCCTCTGACCAGGCTGCACTCAGGGCGGACTGCAGTGTCATCTCAAGGCCCGACTCAGGAGGGTCTGTCACGTCTTCATTAGCTGTTGGCTGGAGACATCAGTTTTATGTGTGCCTCTCTCTACAGCTTACTCACCACATGGTACCTTACTTCTCTCAGAGACTGTGTTTGTGACCCAAAGCAGCTTAAGACAAAATTCCCTGACTGGTGTTTAGGAAGTGATGTGGTGAAAAGTAAGCAAAGTTTCTAATATAGTGACTATTTTCATCATTTTTTTTCCTACCTCTATGCCCCGTCCCTAGTCCAAGATGACCTAGGTTTCCTTCTGCCTGTTAATCTTGGCACTTTCCTTAGTCTGTTGGTTCATTCATGGGTTCATTCAGATATTTATCGAGAACCTCTCTGTGTGCTAGGCGCCAGCTAGGATCACCTGTGTAGGCAGTGTGCTGCTGTCAGTATCCACCTGTCACCGATGAGGGAACCTCCACAGACGTGGGACTCGCCCAATTGCGGGCTGACCTGCCAAGGTCAGTGCTCACCACGCACAATACGGCTCGAGTGTACAGGTCATCCGCACGCTAGAGAAAGAGGAAAGAGAGAAACATGGGAATCCGGTTGTGCTGTTCTTCTGATCCCCATCTTATCATCTCCAAACTCCCATCCATTCCTGGGACCCGAGTACTCCTGAGCCTCCATACTCCATCCTCTTCCAGTTCCAAACCCAGCAGTCTTGGGCCCAAGGGGAGACCACTCACCTGACTGCAGAGATTTCCTTTGGAAAGAAAAGGATAGGCAAGACCCTAAAACAAATACACCGTATCAAATATATAACAACACCTCTTATATCCAGATTCACTGAATAGAGAGGCTTTCTACCTACTTAAATTTCTCAGATTGGTGTTAAAGGCCAAATTTTTTTTTTTTTTTTTGCGGTACGTAGGCCTCTCACTGTTGTGGCCTCTCCCGTTGCGGAGCACAGGCTCTGGACGCGCAGGCTCAGCAGCCATGGCTCACAGGCCCAGCCGCTCCGTGGCATGTGGGATCTTCCCGGACCGGGGCACGAACCTGTGTCCCCTGCATCGGCAGGCAGACTCTCAACCACTGCGCCACCAGGGAAGCCCTAAAGGCCAAATTTTTATAAATATCTACCCATTAGTGGTAATCTTGATAATTACATACTTACCTAACTTTTTTAGCAGCATACATGGAACATAATTTAACTTCTACTTGGTGATTCATGGCTGCCATCAGGAGTATCAAGCATGTGAGGTTATAAAAACATTAATGCCTTCAGATGATTTTGAGGTTTATAAGCTATTTACTTTTGTCATGTTTTCTTGAACTGAACTAGCATTTTGCAGTATTTGTATATCTTTCTTTTTTGCTACCTGTTATCTTTTTGCTGCTCTCAGCCTACCCAGCTTTTAAATCACTGTGGGCCAGAAAAATAAATGAACAAGCTTATTCCTGAAATCATTGACTGGCGTTTGTACTTCCATTTCCCTCTGCCTGAAATGCTCTTTCCCCCAATCCTCTTAGCTAAATCACTCGTCTCCTTCAAGTCTTTGCTCAAATAGCTTCTTCTTAGTGAAACCTTCCTTGACCACCCTATTTAAAATGACAGTGTCCCTGTACCTTAGACACCCCTCTCCGGTCACAGTATTTATTGCTTTCTAACCTGCCTTATAATTTACATATTTGATATGTGCATTGACTGTAAGCCCCCCAAGGGCGGGGATCTTTGTGTTTACTTCTATATCCATGAGCCTTGGACTGCTTGGGGCCTGGCACACAGGGTCCCCTCAGGACTTTCACAGGCCACACCATTCAGAAGTCACCTCCCGTGGGTGAAGTGTCCTGTTACTCTATATGGTAACTTCTTGAGCCCAAAAACCTCTGCCTCCTCGTCGCCACTCCACCCCCAGCCTCAGGGGCTCACCCAGCAGAAGGGGCAGCAGGAAGACACAGCCCGCAGGGCCCATGTTTCTGTCCTCAAGAGTCAGCACCTCCTGCTTTCTGGACTCAGGCTCCCAGGGCGAGGGCAGCTGGGGAGCAGCCAGAGGAGAGGGGCAGGACCAGCGTTTCCTCCTAGCTGGATCCTCGGCTTCGCCCCCTCCTCTCCTTTGGCCCTCACCCTGGCCAGGCGCTGAAGGGACCAGACTTGAGAAATGCAGCTACAGGACCCAGGGGGAGGAGCTGGGGCTCGAGGTGCCCCCTGCTGTCCAGGGAGAGCAGGGTGTCTAAGGCTTCTGCCTCCAGGGCAGGTTGGAGGCTACAGAAAGGAATGGAACCCTGTCTCTAGCAAGGAAGTGGAATATGGGCAGGATTCTTCAGAAGCTGGAAATGAAAAAGAGGAGATTAACCTAGTACCTGGCTAATTTTTTCTAAATTTTTTTGTCTTCATCTTCATTTACAGCATTAGCCATAGACTGTACTGCAAGTCAGTTTTTCTGAGAAACAGACTCTAAGACAGAGATTTGTGTGCAAGAAGTTTGTTGGGGAGTGGTCTTAGGATCAACACCTCGAGGGGGGATGGAAGCAGGATTGGGCAGAGGGAGAGTTGATGTAATGCACCTGCAGCAGGGGCCTCAGGCATTCCCCAAGGTTGCTCTGGAGCTGGGGTGGCCCTTCAAAGATGCCCTGAACTGAGACTAGAAGTCTGAGCCCTTGGACTTCGGAATGACTGGGTGCAGGTTACCTGCAGGGGAGGGGGCATTACCTTGGGTGAGGTGGCTCTGGCAGCAGTTCCTGGAATTGGACTTGGCTTCGAACTGTCTGCAGCCGACACTCCTGGTTGCTAGGAAAGTGAAAGCTTCAGTCTTGAAGGGGGCTCTGGGCCATGTAGCACAGCATCTGCTACAGAATTCTTTTCTGCGCCTTTTTTGTTTTCTGTACCCGTAGTCTGTAGGGTAGTAGGTCTGTGGAGGCAGAATTCAGGAAAGTATTAAAGCATGTTATTGCTCTCTTGCAGCTTAAAATTTGGGCAAATTTGACAGAAACACATGAATAATTGTAAAAAAGTAAGACCAGAAAATATAGCTGTTTTGGTAAGTGTTATTCAGTTATAAGCAACAGAAATTCAATGAAACTAGCTTAAACAGAGAGAGATTATTTTAAAGATATTGTCATGGGCTGCAACGTGTCTCCCCCTGCCCCAGATTTATGTGTTGCGGTTCTAACCCCCAGTACCTTAGAGTGTGATCGTACTTAGAGATAGTGTCTCTAAAGAGGTAATTAAGGTAAAATGAGGTCATTAGAGCAGGCCTTAATCCAGTATGACTGATTTCCTTACAAGAAGAGGAAGTTTGGACACATACAGAGGGAAAAGACAGCCAACTACAAGCCACGAAAGCCTAGAACAGATCTTTACCTCCCGTCCCTCTGGAGGAACCAACCGTGCTGACACCTTGATCTCAGACTTCTCACCTCTGGAACTGTGAGAAAACACATTTCTGTTGTTTAAGGGCCCCCCCCCGCCCCGCCCCCAGTCTGTGTTACTGTGTTATGGCAGCCGTAACAAACCAATACAGATTTCTGAGGAACAGTAAGGAGAACAGAGTAGCAAGGACATCTGGAGCTATCCTAGGACAGACTGGAGACCAGGGTGGGAGACTGGAGCTGGCAGGGGGCTCTGGATCCATGATGGCTCGAGAGCTCAGAGCAGCAGTTCGGCATCCTCACTCTGGTCCTCTGCCGTCAGGATGGCCCAGCACTTTCCATGTCTTTTCATTCTATCCCACTATAAACTACCCAAGTTTTTCCTTACTTTCAGTTCAAATTCCGCAGAATTTGAACAGGTGATCTTTTCTTACCAGCCCTTAGGTACATGGCTGTGGACTAAGTGTCTTTGCAGTAAGTGCCCTTGTGCATGATGAGGATGAAGGAACATGGCCAGCTAAGCTGCAGGGACTGTTGTGGTAGAGCAGATGCCACATTTGCTGTATCTCAGTACAGTAAGGTGTTTACCTCTCAATACATTTTTTCAGATTTTAGAAGTGAACGCTTCAAAAAAAATTAATTTTCCATCTCCTTCTTTACTGACTGCCACAACTGTCTTTTTCAGATTTAGTTGTCTTCATTTGTGACTGCTTGGTGGAGGTGAAAATCTACTACTATTATATTTATGTTATCTCCTCTATACATTTTTTTTTTTTTTTTGCGGTACGCGGGCCTCTCACTGTTGTGGTCTCTCCCGTTGCGGAGCACAGGCTCTGGATGCGCAGGCTCAGCGGCCATGGCTCACGTGCCCAGCCGCTCTGCGGCATGTGGGATCTTCCCGGACTGGAGCACGATCCCGTGTCCCCTGCATCGGCAGGCAGACTCAACCACTGCACCACCAGGGAAGCCCTCCTCCATACATTTTTAATGGTTTTTGTTTTAGGCATCCTGTGTTTTGTGTGTGTGTGGTTTATCCATTCATTCTGGTTATGTGTCCACCACTCACTGCGCTTTTTATCATTATATGATGACCCTCTAGGTACTTCTCACCTTAATTTTTTTCTGAAATTAATATTGCACCTGCAATTTTGTCCTGTTCATTTAATCAGAGAAAACATTCCTTATTCATATCACAATTGGTATTCCAATTAATTTATTGTATTCACAGGCAATTTTAACTATTTAGTCAACTCACTTAAATATAGCTTTTAAGAGTCAGACCTCAATTTGAGATTTGCCTTCAAGTCATGTTTGGAGTAAAGTTCATCTTTTTGCAAAGTTACTAAAAGTCTGAACAGGTCTTTCTGTTGATTTACCAAACGAACAAAATTTGACCAGACACTCCTTTCCCTCTGAGGGTCCTGTGGTTGTCCTAGACCTTTGGACATTTTTATATCCCTGGACAAATCTGCAGTCGCTGAAAACTCTTGACATATTAATTGGGTCATTCACACAATCTTTTTTCCCTTTTGCTTAAATGTTTTGTGAAAATATATTTTTGGTTCTAATTTAGTTGGAAATAAACTTTATTGTAACTAAGACATGAGCTCCTTACTATTAAAATTGGAAATAAAAGGAAAGAATTAAATAGCTATCTTGCTTTTCCTGTCCAAACTGTAGTTCAGGGTAACAAAACGGGCTTAGTTGATGAGGGAAGAATTTCAGGTGATAAATTCTTACTGGTTGGAGTGATAGAATTTGAAAGCAATACTTACAGCTCTTTATGAGATAATTGATCCAGGGGATGATTATCAGTAGTTGAAAGTTTTAGATGAAACAGCTCAGGCTGTTACTATTTGAATGATCTGTTCAATCTTAACATCGTGATAAGTGAGATAAGGCAGACATGAGCCTCCCGATGTGACGTAATGTGAAGGAATATGCAATGAAGTTTTCTTGTCAAAAAAGTGAAACCTGAATCTCTAAAGCTACTTCCACTTATAGCAAATACAAGGGATGAAGGAATAAGTTAAATTACAAGGCCAAGGAGGTTAACAGTCACATCCAGAATGTGGGACATTTTATAAAACAACTAACACTGGTTTCTGTAACAAGTCAACGGTATGAGGGTACAAAGGGAGGGAAACTCCTCTAGGTGAAAAGAAACATAAGAGTCATAAGTGTGTGTGGCCTCTGTTTGGATCCTGATTTAGCAAATCAACTCTAAGAAGACATTTTGATACAAGCAAGGAAATTTGATAATTAACTGGGTCTTAGATATTATGAAGGAAGTATTGTTAATCTTGATGGGTATAATAATGATATTGAGTTATGTAAGAAAATGTCCATTTTTAAAGAGACAGTTGGAACCTGTGAGTCCTTTCTAAATCGAAGCTAAACTCTTCTATCATATTGGAGAAATCGTCTTTGGTTTTCAGCCCACAGAGCTATGCTGTCATTTTTATGGGGAAGACTGCATGACCTTAGGCAAGTCACCTTTCCACTAAGGCCTGTGTTTTCCCGTTGTACCATGAAGGCACTGGAATCAGCTGATGATCTCAGAAGTGTCTTTGCAGATGTAACATTGAATTTTGACTTCCTTATCTATTTACCTGTATTTACTTACCTTTATCTATTACCTCCATTACTCCTCTGCAAATATTTCATTATTGTTGGTTTAGCAATCAAGAAATGCGTCGGGTCTTCCATTTTAATGCTCCCTTGCTTCTTCTAAGGTAAGGAAGTACCAAGGAGTTGGAAGTGAGGGAGCAGGTGCTTGATATCCACTCTAGAGATTTTCCTGAAGGCAGCCCTTATCGCTTTCTGCCTTCTCTTCATGCCCTGTCTCGAGGTCCTAGAGTCTCTGTTCCCAGATCATTACCCTGTTATCATTAACATTATCTTTAAATACCTCTACCGTACACAATAACTGTTGGTTTGGGAAGTGGCCATGTGGTGGTGTTGGTAAGAGCTTTATTGCTTGCCGTGTGGCTGTTGCCTAGTTACAACCTTTTCATCTCAGCAAAATGGGAATAATAATAATACCTCACAAGATTTTGGTAGGAATTAAATGAGATAGAGGGCAAGTACTTAGCTTGCGTTTAGGCTATTTAAGCACAAAATTATAATAAATAGTAGCCGCTGTTTTTATTATTGTTTTTGTTGAACAAATATCCTAGTTTTAAGTACTAACTTAATTCTGGGCAAACAGGTCATCTTGGTGATGGCTTAGATTGATGTGAATGGTGCCTGTAGACCAGGATTTCTCAGCCTTAGCACTGTTGACGTTTGGGGCCAGATGATTCTTTCTTGTGGGGCGCTGTCCTGTGCATTGGGGGACGTTAAGCACATCTCTGGCCTTAACCTGCTGGATGCCAGGAGTACCACCCATCCCTAGTGGTGACAACCAAAAATGTCTTCAGACATTGTCAAGTGTCCCCTGGGGTTGGGGTGGGGAGCAGAATCACCCTTGGTTGAGAACCACTGCTGTAGAGTAAGGATGCCACTTCAGGGTGCAGTCTTCTCTTGAGCACCCTGAGAATAAAACAGGGACAACAGTAGAATTGCAAGTCTTGTAGATTTTTTTTTGTTTTTTGTTTTGTTTTTTTGGCCGCAGCTTGCGACCTGCAGGATCTTAGTTCCTGCAAGCCAGGGATCAAACCTGCGCCCCCTGCAGTGGCATCTTAACCGCTGGACCACTGGGGACGTCCCCCAATTTTGTAGCTTTTTATCTGTAGTTCCAGGAAGGGCAAATGGATTCCATTGTCTCTTTTCTAATTCAATCCATCAGATCAATCTATTATATTGATCTGAAAATGAATAAATGAAAATGAATAAAATGAATAAATCTCTTTATAAAATGAGTAAATCTCTTTATAAAATTCTCCTAAAGAATAACTAATTTCTCACTGTTTGATTCCACTTACACGAGGTACCTAGAATAGTCTAGTCAAATTCATGGAGTCAGAAAGTACACTGGTAGGGCTTCCCTGGAGGTGCAGTGGTTGAGAGTCCGCCTGCCGATGCAGGGGACATGGGTTCGTGTCCTGGTCCGGGAAGATCCCACATGCCACAGACCGTCTGGGCCCGTGAGCCATGGCCGCTGAGCCTGCGCGTCTGGAGCCTGTGCTCTGCAACGGGAGAGGCCACAACAGTGAGAGGCCCGTGTACTGCAAAAAAAAAAAAAGAAAAAAAAAAGGAAGTACACTGGTAGATGCCAGGGGTGGGGAGGGGGAATGGGGAGTTAGTGTTTAATGGGGACAGAGTTTCAGTTGAGGAAGGTGAAAAATTCGGGAGATGGATGATGGAGAGAGTTGCACAACAACGTGAATGTACTTAGTGCCACTGAACTCTACAGTTAAATATGGTTAAAATAGTATATTTTCTATTATGTGACTTTTACCACAATAAAAAAACATTAAAAAGGAAAGCATAATTGATTTCTCTAGCACAAGTGTAGCAGCAACAGACACCTATGCCCTCTATTAAAAGATCCAGTTTGGTCTTCGTTCTTGAACTTGGACAGGAAACTTTTAGTCCAGCTGTGGTTCCACTAACCAGTATGTCCTAGAACTAGTCCGTATACCTGGCCTCCGTTATGTCAGGGTCAAGGCCTGGACAGCCTTTGAGAGATGGCCTTCTTCCTCCTGTCGCTCTCCACCTCGTTGTCCAGTCTATGGTTTCCCTCCCCTGCACTCCCCTTCTCCACAGGGACTGATCCTGCTCGGAACTGCATCCTGCTTGCCTTGGGCCCTACTGCCCTTTAATTAGTTCCCCTCGGCAAGAGTTGGTCCTGTTCTTTTGATCACTAAAATAAAATGTATGTTTATTCACTTATACCAAATGAATTCTTCCTTTCCGTTTTGACAGCTAGCCTTCTACAGTCTATTGCTCTCATTTTGTTATTTAGAAAATAAGATTCGATACTTTCTGTTTGCAACACTCTAATAGATGCTGTTAGAAGAGCAAGAAGATGACTAGGACAGCAGTTCTCTTCTCAAGGTTCTTCTTATTTATTCAGAAGAAGTAAAGCTGTGTGCACTCAAATAATTACAGATGGAGACTGGAGTATAATAAGAGGTACAAATAACTAGAACCAAAGGGCAGATGTTATTTTGGCATTGTATAAGGAAGATCTTTATTAGAGCTTTCTAACAGTGAATGGAGGTAATTTGGTATAGTGGAAAGAGCCAAATCTTTTGAGTCAGACAGTCCAGGGTAAATCTGTTTAATCAGATATTAGCTGTGTGATCTTAGGCAAGTTGCTTAACCTCTCTGATCCTCAGTTGGTTTTGTGTGTGTGTTTTCATTTGTAAAAGTGGAATAAATAATGCCTTCTTGAGTTGTTAGGACAAAATAAGATGATTTTTAAGTGGCCCGTATAGTAACTGATAGAAGGCATAAGTAAATACAAGTTCCTGCCATAGTTAGAGGTAAGATAAAGATGGCATGACCCTCAGAGAATCCACTTTGGCAGGCAGCATGACTAGGCTGAAGTCATCTCAATCTAGGCTCTGGACCCTTAGCTTTTTAGCTTCTGAAGTTCTTGTCAGAGCACCTAGAAGAGATCAAATTCAAGAGACTGACTCACTAAAATTTAAGAGACTTGTATATGAACCAGAATGTTGATTTGCAAAGAGGACTATTCATTTTTATCATTTGGAATTTGCATTTTTCCTAACCAGGGTACACCTTCTCGATATTGAGTAGGGAAACCAAATTAGTAGGTGGGTGGTGGTTTGACGAGTCTTCGGATCAGAACAAGTGGAAGTGGCAAATCTCCACAAGCATTTCACTCGCTAGGAGGAAATATCCCTTCTTCACAAAAACTGGGTGAAACAGTGCTTCTCCATAACAGAGCATGTTTTTCTAAATAAATACAAAGTTTATATTCATCAGACTCAAGAGTCTCTCTTCCTTTACAGCCTAGGGTCTGATGAACACAGAGTTGTCTGGCTTTTGCTTTCTTAGATTCCATGCTGACCATTCCCTTTCCTAATGACGTTTTTCTTCAGTTTAGTGCCCAATACTGTTGATGATGCTTAAGCATTCTCAGGTATGATCTTGTTCCTGGTGTGCTGCTTTGAGATCATACCCAAATCTCCAAGTTTAGCTTCCTCCTAAAACACATAAGACCTGTATTTACTGAAATTTTGGGCATCCTTTCTACAGAAAACGATCTCCTTCCATCTCACCCATTTTGCATATATTTTACTTGTTAAGTTTCAGTTTTAGAGGATTCTGGTGGGCAAGTGGTGGGACAGTGCCATGTAGTGAAAATAGTTCCCTTTCCTCCATTACCAAAAGTTAGTTAGTTAGTTAGTTAGTTAGTTAGTTTTCCAGTTCTATGATATTAAGAAGTGTAAGATCATCCATCGTGTCTGTGAAACAAGCAAACGTGCCTTGAGCTGAGAGTTGTATCAAATAACTTGTAAGGTACCTTCCAACTATTTTATTTTATGATTCTAAAACCTGCTGTTATCTCTTTGTTGGATTTCTTGGCTTTAGTATCTAGATCCATCCTCTTCGCTCACATTCTTTTATCGTTTTTTACTTATTTAGCATCTCACATGTTTAATAGGTTTATCTCTTCTTTTGCCGAAGCATTCGCACAGTGTCAATTATGCCTTGCTTCCAATTCTGTAGTGTTGTCATCTAAAAAAAATTCTGAGAAGATCTTGTTAACATGAACAGTGTTCCTTTGAGAATAAATTGTAATCAATCTTTGAATACTGCTTATACTTTGTATAATTTTTGCATTTGGAAAATTAATTTTTTTCAAAGTTCTTACTATTTTCTTTGTATGTGCAGAAAGCTTTTTAAGGGCCCAGATTTAATTTCCTTATTTTTATGTAATTATCTTATCTTTGCAGTTATTAATGAAAATTTTCATTCTCAAACAGTGATTTTATTGGTATTTAATGAAGTTTGAGCAAGGGATGATCATTTTGCTGCTGTTCATTCCACCATCTTGCCCAAACTCCTTCTAATCATTTTTCACTATTATTTGTTGAGTAATACAGAGCATCCTGTATTATTTTAATCAGTATCTTATGAAATCCATAAATTAACTCACTGCTGGCCAGCATCAGATCCCATGTTCCTAACTACTCTTTGTATACGTATACCACAGGCCCAGGAAAAGGATGGGGATAAAGCAGCCATACATTTCTTATATGAGACATGTTCTTGGACCCCTCTCTGGTCACAGGATATTGCAAGTTGGATATCTCTCTAATAAACACCTTCCATAACCCCAGTGCACCTCTGAGCACGACCATGAAGTGCTCTTAGTGGGTGGGGTGAACAGGAGACTCGAAGGCATTCTCCCTGAAAACCTCAATTTAAACCCACCCCCATGCCTCTCCTTAATCTGTGACCACTAAACAGTCAGTTTTCGCCTCCCAGCTCCTTAATCCAGACCCTTCCCTTATTGCCCTTACAGAATGCAGCCTTTGAGATGTCCTCAGTGATTCTTATCAGCTCACTTCTGAAGAATAGAATACGATAGAAGTAATGAGATGTCAGTTTTGAGATTAGTTATAGAGAGACTATAGTTTCCGTTTGGGGTATTCTCTCTTGCTTTATCTTGTATCATTCACCCTAGGTGAAGCCAGCTGCCCTGAGGCAGCCCTGCAGAGCACCCGTGTGAGTGAGCTTGAAGCAGGTCCTTTCCATTTGAGCTTGGAGGTGACTACAGTTTACAGCAGCAGCCTCTTGAAAGACCCTGAGCCAGAACTACCTGGCTAGGCCCTCCCTGATTACTGACCCACAGACACCGAGAGATAGCAAACATTTGCTGTCTTCAGCCGTTATGTTTTAGGGTAATTTGTTATACAGCAGTAGATAGCCAATACACTGCCCTAGGCTCCTTTTGCCTGGCCTGCTTCAACTGAAACCTTCTAATCTTCTGAGTCCCTGCTTTTTCTTCAGAACCCAGTCTAGTCCCGGACTGGGTGGTTTTCATGTTGACTTCAGCCAAGGGCAAACTAGTTAACCTCTCTGTACCCTAGGTACTTCTTTAGAATGTGAGGAATTGGTTGGGTCAGGTGATTTCCAGATCCCTTTCAGCCCTAAAGTTCTTTGCTTCTGTATTTCCCCAGGCCCTGGGGAAATTTCATTAAAAAAAATGAATATGAAAAGTAATAGTTAGAACCAACCAAACTTTATTCATGCCGGTGACCTTGCTTCCCAGGTTGACCTACAGGAGACAAGGCAGCAAGCAGACTGGGCTCCTGGGGACTGCACCCAGAGGTAGCAGAACTGCATCTGTCTTGCTGAAGCTTCGGAATCTCTCCTCAAAATCCTCAACTTCTAGAATTTCCACTTTCTCCGTCATTCTTAATTGCCACTTCACCTTGGCCATACTGACCTCATCCAGTTAGGGTAGCCTTGGGAAAATGAGAGGCAGAAGCACAACAGGGAAGAGCCCGGAGAAGTCCGGCCTGAGGTCAGCATGCGAGATGGCTGACTTCTCAATCCAAGACTTGTAGAAACTGATGTTTGTAAATACCCCAGGCTCATTGGTTCCGATGCAGTTTGATTCCCAGCTCACCACTCCTGCCAGGACCCAGAAATCCTCCACTTTACACGTCAGGGGATCTCCTCTACTGCCCTGGGGGAGAGAGGAAAGATGGCTGGGCCATGCACGGGGCAAAGGGAGAGACTCCAGTAATTTAGCCAAGAGCAGTGGAGTTAGGGCCTGTCCAGACACTCCTGGGTTCACACAAGGACCCCGAAGCTACGAGACATGGAGGAAGCACACTGGGGAATGGAAGGGCTCTGAAAGGTGCCTATAGGATGGATTCTTACTATGCACTGATCTGTCTGCCACTGGGAGCCTGGAGCAGATCACGGCTTCACTGATGGGCTCAACTCCATGCAACAAGCTTACTTTCTGTAGCAGTTGTTGCATGTCTGGAGATCACTGAGGGGCACTTTTAGCTCCTTCGGTGTATAAGATGGTTTCATAGCTGTAAGGCCAAAAAGAGTCAAAGTTGTCTTAAAAAATTAGGAAGCAACTTTCAGCTATGGAAATAGCTTTCATGCCTTTGATTTTCAGGGATAGCTCTGATTTCAAGTTTCTGCCCCCATTAACAGGCAGCACTCTGATTTCCGGTTTGGCAAATGGTCTAAAGGCTGAGTTCCCTGGGTCTGAACAAGACTGATGGCAGTAGCTCCTGCTGTACCACAAAAAAAACAGAAGAATCTTTTGATTCAGAAAAACCTAAAATCATGAAAGATGTAGTAGTGTTTGGCTTTGGAATATATATATATATATATATATATATTTTTTTTTTT